TTAACGAACGAGCCGAACACGAGCTACTTAACGAGCCGAACACGAGCTGTTTACGAACAACGAGCCAAATTGACAGCCCTAGACATCTAAGAAGTTTCTTAGTTGCTCCTTGATGAACTTGGTTTGGACGTTGCATAAATCTTGAGAGTGAACTGGTTACATACATGCTGTCTAATATCATAATTGTTTAATAAATTAAGCTTCCAATAAGACTTTGATAGAATGTGTTGTCAGTTTTTCATACATTATCATCCTTAATAAGTATCTTGTTGTCTAGGGGAGTAGCTACTATCTTAAAATTATTCATGATAAAATTCTTTAAGAAAATATTATGTATATATTTTTTTTTAGATGAAGACCCCCCTCTCATTTTGAATTACTACCATCCTAAAAAATTATGCATCAAACCTAAGTCAGTCATCTTTAATGTTTTCATCATGTCTTTGTTAAAATCATTAATCATCTTCTTATTATTTACTGCATAGATAAGATCATCTACATATAAGGGGAAAATTATAGTGTAGCTCATACCTTAAGTCGTGATATATAATGTTCGCTCACTTTTGCTACTCCTGAAGCCTTGCTCGATGACATAGTTGTCAATTTGACATTTCGACTATACCAAGCTCTTAGAGCTTGCTTTAAAGTCATACAAACCTTATATAACTTGAGAACTTTTTCTTCTCGGCCTTGTACTACAAAATCTGAAGGTTGTTCCTCATAAAACTCTTGTTCTAAGTTGTCATCTAGAAATGCAAATTTCACCTCTAGTTCATATATCTTCCAATTGTTTTGTGTTGCAAGTTCAACTAATGCTCTTATTATATTATGCCGTGCATCTAGAACAAATGTTTTATTATAGTCAATTCAAAATTATTATAAGTATCCCTTAACAACTAGTCTTGCTTTATATTTTTTAATCAATTTATAAAGATTGTGTTTCATCTTGTAGACCCACTTAACTCCGAGTATCTCTTTTTCTAGCATAGAGTATACTAACTCTTGTATCTTATTTTTCTCGATCATATTTATTTATGCTTTCATTACTTTTCTCCATACTTCTTGCTTTGAGGCTTCTTCAAAGCTTGTTTTCCTCATGCTTGTCTAGTTACAATGCTCGTAGATTTCTACTAGAGATTTTGTTCTTTTAGGTGGCGCTTTTGGAGATGAATATGCATCTCAATATGGCTTTTATATATGTGCTTGTGTTGATGATCCTGGTTGATTATTGACTTCTTCAACTTGTTGATGTGTTATTGGCACATTGTTGACTCTTTCGTTCAATCTTTTCTCCCTTCCAGTTGTATTTAGCATCTTCATCAAATTACACATCTCAAATAATGAAAAGCTTCCTTGTTCTTAAGTTATAGACTTTATATACTTTATATTGAGTATTATAACCTAAGAAAATTCCATTTTCTATTTTTCATCTAATTTACTCTTTTTTTGCACAAGAAATTAGTATATTTTCTATTATTTCATTATCAGGAATTGTTGTTCCATAGGCACTCATTTGATTAACTATTTCCATTAATTTAGAATAATAAACTTTTGTGCTCTCTTTATCTTTCATTTTAAGATTCTTAAAAACTTGTTTAAGATTTTGCAATTTGATGGAGTGTACCTTCTTAACTTGAAAATTTTTCAATACTTTGCCCCATGCTTGTTTTGCAGTTGTTGTGCCCATGTTTCCAGGAGAGATATCGTCATTGTTTGTTGTAAAGCAAATAATGCTTTAGAGCTTTTTTGTTGATTCTATTAAAGCGTTTTCTTTTGATTTGCTGAAATAATTGAAGTTTTCTAGCACATTGCATCCTTCTTCAATGATCTTTTTAAAATTTTGGGAACAAAAATAGATCTTCATTTTGGTGAATCAAAAATCATAATTTGCTCCATTGAAAATTAGAATCGGGACATATGAGCGGTTGAACTTGGGCATTATAGACATTGAAATTGTAAAACGCCCCCAATGAATAATCGAACGAAGGTCCAATACCAATTGTTGGAAACTTTTGAAGAGAATATGAAGAATTGTATTACTTAACTTTGCTGAGTCATTTTGAGCTTACATGGCAACATCATAATTATGCATATTTATAGACATAAGAGACTAAATCAAGAAACTTCTAAACTCTTACATAATTTTCTAAAAAAACATACTATAAATTCCTCATAATTAAATATTCTAGAGTATTCTCATTTAATACAAATATCTTAGAATCTTCTACTTGAGACTATACAGAACATTCTAGAATATTGAAAAAAATGCATCAATCTTTGCAGTTACTGCCCCTTTCAATGTCATTCATGTTAAACCCATTCAACCATTCTCACTTTTACATCTTTTTTTCGAGCATGGTTGTTCTCTATCATTTGGCATCCAAGCAAGTTCTATTCCTTGGATCAGGCTTGTTTTGTCATACAAGATCATTTTCATGCTTCCATTTTATGCCATCTTGCTATTAAAATTTATTAAATATATCAAATAAAAGTTATTTTGCTTCAAATTTTCATGATTTGATCATTCTTTATTATGTTTGGGTACTCCTAAATTCTCATTGCAGTTTAAGTTCAACTGGTCATATAAAAAAACTGAAATTTTTTTGTTTTCTTTATCTACAGAACTTTATATTTGTTAGATATAACTCATATACTATAAATGGACATATGTTGGAGCGGAGCGGAGTAGAGTAGAAGATTCTGTCCAAATCAGAGGAGTATTCTTATGTGGGTTGGGGTGTGGTACATGAGAAATTTGGTAATTACATATTGTACCCAAAGTTTCAATTACTGTTCTGTCTATGATTATAAATAAGTCTGTATGTAACCCTATGTGTTATCCCGCATTCTGTAATTTGTACTCTTTTCTGTTTTTCTTGAAGGAAAAATCGCTGCTCTGCTCCCGAGGATGTAGACATCTTTGTCGAATCTCGTAAATCTTTATGTGTTCTTTTGGATTTGTGTTGATTCCTAGTTTTTCTTCGTCCTATTTTCTCATTTAAAGTTAAATATATATTGTGTATTAATAACATACCATCCAAGATTAAACTCAAGTGCTCTTTGTTGTGCCTCTTTGTCACTAGGGTTTTTATCATATGGCTCAAACCAGTATGATGGTAAGGTGATGCCCACTTTCCCCTGTTGCTTGGCCTGCAAATTAATTAATTTACATAAAAAAACAGTTATTTATGTAAACACCTTAAAAGTGGAAGAAGACAATTATAAGAAAATGAGAGTTAAATACCTGAAAATGGTTTTTGTATAATTTTGCTGCTTCAGAGTGGGCTAGGAGCATATTGTGGGAAACAATATATGGCTCTATGAGAGAATCTCCTCCAGCTGGGCAGCTAAGATCAGGAAGGCCTTGTGTGCATCTACCTGGAGCAAGTGCACCTTCACCATATCCAAGGGTGGAGAATGTCCATGGCTCATTTAGAGTCATCCAATGCTTCACCTTATCTCCAAACTCTTCATAACATACTTTTGCATAATTTTTGAAATCTTCTCTGCAAAAATGTATAATTTTATAGGTCTTAGGGTTAGCTTGATTGGGTACATATGTAACATTAAGTATATTTATATGTCTCACACTTAAGGCTTTACATTTTTATAGATTTATACTATGCAAATCTTTCATGTAATTAGGGTTGTTAATAATTTGATAATTTTTAGTCGGTTCAAGTTGAGCAATTGGGTTGACCAGAATAATTTTTGGATCGAGTTTGGGTTAAATATCCTAACCTCTTTAATTTTTGGGTTCGGGTTCAGATTGACCCACTAACCCGAAAATGATCCGCCAAGCCTAAATTGACTTCAAATTGGCTCTTCAATCTGAAATTGAGCCAATTTAAACCCAAATAACTACTATTTGTTATGTTAGACGGTTATATGGGTTTGATTTGGGTTAGCCGATTGAAGGCATATCAGGTTTGGGTTGGGATTTTCAACATGTATAACATTCAGGTCGAATTAGTTTTGAGCCAGACATAGTAACCCAAATAGAAACCCTTATAAATGCCCATATATTATATAATATTTTCCAATATGACATATCGACATTATATCAAATAAACATCAAATACATGTCAACATATAATAGACATTATGAAATAATGACGCATCATGTCTTAAAAATATATATCATACAGTATTCTTTTGCTCAAAAAGCCTCCATATTCATCTTCTAGAGCTTGGGGCAAATCCCAATGGAACAATGTCACAAAAGGCTCTATTCCTACAAAATACAAAATAAATATTCATATAAAAGTATCAATTATAATAATATTTTCATATAAATGTCAAACCATAAACTTATTCATTTTTTTGTCACCATTGTCAAGGAGCTCATCTATCAAATTCTTGTAATACTGAATTCCTTCCGGATTTACTTTGCCACGACCATCTGCAACCCCATCATACAAAAATATTGTATAAATAGCACAAAAGAGAAAATATTTAACAAAATAGTCACATTTATGAACTTGTTCGGATGAAAGTTAATATCTATACGTGGCAAAATTCTTGGCCATGAAATGGAGAATCTATACGCATCCAAGCCGAGGTCAGCTAAGAGTCCCACGTCCTCCTAAAATATTCAAGAAAATAATTAGCAAATTAGCACAACAGGGAGTTGGAACTTTAATTCTCTCTTAAATGTGACTATATTTATAAAAAAAAAACTCCCAATATTTTTTGCACGGTATTCTCAGAAAAAATATTACATCAGGACTCCGCACGTAGAGCTACGTGCGAAGTCCAATGAAATTACGTCGTGGAGTTGATCGGTCTCGTAACACAAGAGAATATTTCCCTCATATTATTCAAGTGTTATTGTGTGCTATTCAGATGTTATTGTGTGTTATTCAAATAACATTGATGTGTTGCAATTAAAGAAGAATTTGCAGAATAATTTGTTGCATGATCAATTTCAAATGACAATATCTGGTGCGAAATTCGAGGTGGTGAAGTTTGATGGAACTGATAACTTCGGATTGTGGCAAACAAGAGTAAAAGTTCTGTTGGCTGAACAGAGAATCTTGAAAGCTTTGCTGGCAGCAAAATCAGATGTTATGGAAGATAAAAATTGAGAAGAATTGCAACAACGAGCTGCAGCAACTATACATCTATGCCTGACAGATAAGGTCATGTATCACGTAATGAATCTAAAATCTCCGGGGGAGGTATGGATGAAATTGAAAACTCAGTTTATGATTAAATCTCTAACGAATAAATTGTATTTGAAGCAAAAGTTGTATGAGCTGAAGAAACAAGTTCAATCAGATAATGACAGAATTATCACGGTTTGATGTAACTATTGAGGATGAAGACCGAACAATGATTTTGTTGTGTTCACTGTCTTCTTCCTATGAATACCTGGTGACTACTCTTACATATGAGAAAGAAACTATCAAAGTTGATGAGATCACTGTAGCATTGTTAGCTCACAACCAGCGGAAGCAGAATGCAGAAGAAAGCTCTCATGGCGACAGTTTATATGTTAAGGGTAAGCAAGACCGTGGAAAGAGAAAGAGAATTCTAGAAGGTGAAATTCCATATCCAAGTCCAAAGGCAAAAAGATAATTCATTGCTACAATTGCAATAAGTCAAGTCATATAAAGAAAGATTGTTCAAAACTCAAGAAGCAGACTGGGGAGAAAGGTAATGGATCATCGAAGTCTATAAATGTGGTGCAGAGTGACAATTCAGCCTGCAGTGATGACGATATGCTTTCAGTTTCATCAACTCAGTTCACGGATACATGGATTCTTGATTTAGGATGCTCTTATCACATAACACATAACACCTAATAGGGAATGATTTACTTCATAAAAGTCAACTAATTATGACTCAGTTTATCTAAGTAATGATAGATGCTGCAATATTGTTGGTATTAGAGAAGTCAGAATTAAGATGTATGATGACACAATTAAAATATTATGTGATGTCAGACATATTCCAGATCTGAAGAAGAATTTGATTTATTTGGGTACTTCACATAGAAATTGATTTGTTCCTAAAGCAAATGAGGATAGGGGAACCATTAGAATTGTTAAGGGTGCACTGACTGTGATGAAAGAAAATTTAACTGCAGGTAATATCTACAAACTGTTGGGGAGTACAATTGTAGGTGGAGTTCATTCTGTGAAGTCAGATGATGATAGTACAAAGCTATGATATATGCGTCTGGGTCATCTCAGTGAGCGTGAGATGACAGAATTGCATAGAAAAAACCTATTGCATGACGTTAAAAGCTGCAAGCTCGATTTTTGTAAGTTTTGTGTTCTTGGAAAACAGGCTAGGGTCAATTTTATGACTGAAAAACATAAAACTGAAGAGATTTTTTATTATGTGCATTCTGATGTATGGGGCTCTACCAGAGAATCATCATTGGGAGGATCTCTGTATTTTGTTACCTTTATTGATAATTTCTCCAGAAAAGTTTGAGTGTATTTCTTGAAACAAAAATTTAAAGTCTTTTCTAAATTCAAGTTGTGGAAAACTGAGGTGGAGAACTAAATTGGCAGAAAGATCAAGTATTTGAGATCCGATAATGTCACAAAGTACACAAATTTGCAGTTTCAGAAGTTCTATGAGGAGCATGAGATTCATAGACATTTTTCAGTGCACAAGACACCACAGCAAAATGGTGTGACAAAAATGATGAACATGTCCTTAACTGAAAGGGCAAGATGCTTGAGACTGAATACAAGACTTCCTAAGAGTTTCTGGACAGAGGGCTGTGAATATGACATGTTATCTCATCAATCAATCACCTCAGTCATCATTGGGTGGCAAGGTCGTAGAAGAGGTATGGACAGGTAATCCACCTAATTTCGATTATTTATGAATTTTTTGTTGTCCTGCTTATGTGCATATACCTTGAGATGAAAGATCAAAACTTGATGCAAAATTTAAGAAGTGCATCTTTCTGGGCTGTAAGAAAATTGTGAAATGATACAAGTTTTTGGATCTGATTGCAAAAAAAATGGTGATCAACAGAGATGTAGTTTTTAATGAACAGTCTATGTTACAGCAAAATCAAGACAAGATGCAAGGAAACAGTTCCAGTTCAGATGTAGTGTAGATGAATTTAGAACAGCATCCAGAAACAACTGAGAGGTTGAAGGTTCAAATCCAACACCAAGTGATTCTATTCCAGATGATCTACAGAATTATAATCTAGCCAGAGATAGCAAGAGACAGACAGAGACACACCAATATAAGGTCTCCTAGCATATTGGGTTATGAAGACTTGGTCTCTTGTGCACTTCTTATCAACAGCGATGATCCAGCTACTTTTCAATGAGCTATCACTAGCTAGGAAAAAGAGAAATGAATAAGTCCAATGGTTGAGGAGATGAAGTCTTTTCAAAAAAATCGCACATGGGAGCTAGTTCAGCTTCCCGAGGGAAAAAAAGACTATTAGGTGCAAGTGGATGTAGAAAAGAAAATCAGCAGTATCAGAAAAAGAAGGGGAAAAGTTCAAGGCTCGACTGATAGCAAAGAGATTTTCACAGCAGAAGGGGATAGATTATGATGATATTTTTTCCTGTGGTCAGACATACTTCAATCAGGACAATGGTTGCATTAGTAGTTATTTGGGATTTGCATTTGGAGCAGATGAATGTTAAAACTGCTTTCTTGCATGGTGATCTGGAGGAGCAGATTTACATAAATCAGTCAGAAAGGTTCACTCAACCTCGACAGGAGCATCTGGTTTGCAGGTTAAAGAAATCGTTGTATGAGTTAAAACAGTTTACAAGATAATAATACAAGTGATTTGACTACTACATGATTCAGATTGGCTACAAGAAATGTGAGTATGATTGTTGTGTTTATGTAAAGAGCATTGATGATCGTTCTATTATTTTTCTATTACTGTATGTTGATGACATACTGATTGTTGCAAAGAATATAAATGATGTTCGTGGAAGCTTTATTGAACCTAAAATTTGACATGAAAGACTAGAGTCCTATGAAGAAGATTTTTGGAATGAAGATTCATCGAGACAGAGACTCAAGATGATTATGTTTCACAACGAGACTATGTTGAGAAATTGTTGGACAAGTTTGAGAAGAGCAAATCAAAGCCTGTAAACACTCCTTTGACAAATCATTTTAAGTTCTCTTCAGAACAATATCCTAAGACAGATACAGAAATCCAAGACAAGATAAATGTTCAATATGCCAGTGCAGTTGGCTGCTTGATGTATGCAGTGATATGTACTTGTCCTGATATGACTCATACTGTTAGTCAAATCTGCAAATAAATGTTTAAACTTGGAAGACGACATTGGGAAGCAGTTAAGTGAATTTTCAAGTATCTGAAAGGTACTGTAGAACATAAAATTATTTTTAGCAAGTCAGGTCTTCAAATAAATGTCTAAACCTGGAAGACGATATTGGGATGCAGACAAGTGAATTTTCAAGTATCTGAAGGGTAATGTAGGACATGATATTATTTTTAGCAGTCAGTAGTATAATCCTTCAGTTGTGGGGTACATTGATTCAGACTATACAGGTGATTTAGATGGTAGAAGGTCTACAATTGGGTATGTGTTTACTTTTGATGGAATGGAGGGCCTGTAAGTTGGAAATCAACAATTCAGTCTATTGTGGCATTATCTACAACTGAAGATGAGTATATGACAGTAGCTGAAGCTACAAAAGAAACATTATGGCTTGCTGGGCTAATAAAGAAACTGGGCGTTGAGCAAGGTGGAGTTCAGTTACATGTGACAGTCAGAGTGCTATTTATCTGGTTAAAAACCAGGTGTACCATGCGAGAACCAATCACATTGATGTCAGGTATCACAAGATCTGAGAATTAATTGCTTTTGATGAGATACTATTGCAGAAGGTTCATACTGATGAAAATGCAGCTGATATGTTGACCAAGTCAGTTCCTATCAACAAGTTCTTGCATTGCTTGGACTTGTTGAATGTTTGCAACTGCTAGAGAAACATGGTGGCCCAACCCACTTCTGGTATGTAAGAAACTCCATGATGTATTTCTCCTAAGGGGCTGAATATTCGCCAAGAAGATTTGTTAGATATGACTCATATACCATAAAGGGGCAGATGCTGGAGCGGAGCGGAGTGAAAGATTCTGTCCAAATAAAGGGAATTCCCTTATGTGGGTTGGGGGTGGTACATGGGTAATTTGATAATTACATATTGTACCCAAAATTTCCTTTACTGTTCTGTCTAGGGTTATAAATAAGTCTGTATGTAACCCTATGTGTTATCCCATATTCTGTAATCTGTACTTTTTTCTGAATATTGAAAGAAAGTCGCCGCTCTGCTCCCGAGGATGTAAGCATCTTTGTCAAACCTCGTTAAATCTTGGTGTTCTTCTGAATTTGTGTCGATTCATGTTTTTACTCGCCCTAATTTCTCAACAATATTTTATGCCTTCTCAATGTTTGACACATAACTTCCCATATAACTTCTTAGTTTGTCATCAAAATTTTATGAGCTTTACCGTTTTGTTTTATTCTCACTGTCTTATTCCCTCAACAAAAATTTCAGCATCCCCAAGCGTTTGTCCAACACAAATTTGCCCAAGCTCTACCAAATCAGCTAACAGAATCCAAACCATTCATTTCTTCGATAAAGTAGAATGAACGAGATGCAGGGCAGCAACATGAATAAAGTTCTGAATATTTATCACTGAGAATAAGTGATAACTGCAGCAGTGTGGTCAAAATCTGAAAAAAATGGACAACTTAGCAGCTCTCACCCGAAATATGGTTGGTAAATATGATCTGGAATTCATTAGCCTTAGGGTTAGCATCATCTTTATGCTTCCAATAAGCTCTTGCTCCTGACTCCACTAACTTGCATCAGAGGTTTCACCCGCAAAACTTGCCTGAATCTCACATCTATTCCTTCTTCAACTCTTCTGAGAACCTCTTCAGGCAAGCCTTCTTCCCCTGATCTGCTTAATGCATCGCAAACCAACTTATATGTAAACTCTCTTGGAACATGACCGCCATTAACCATCTCCAACAAAAACTCCCTTGCTTCGTTAACCCTTCCGTTCTCACACAGAGCATGGATGACTGGCGTGTAGGAACTTGAACTGGGCATTCCATGCTTCCTGTCAACCATTTCCTTCATCATCTCAATCGCCTTATCCACCTCATTAACAACACTATAGTACCGAATGAATGAATTGTACGTCACCCGATTCGGAATACAACCCTTCATAAGCATATCATTGAACAGCTCGTGTGCTCTTCCAATCCGGTACGTTTTACAGAGGCCATCAATCAAACAGTTGTAGGTCACAATATCAGGGACAAACCCCTTGAACAGCATCCTCCGAAACATATGATTAGCCTCCCATATCCTCCTCCTGATCGCTTTCCGGCACCCAGTCTGCATGCTCCTCTTACAATAGAACGAAATCAATATAGTGTAAGTGTAAGTGTCCGTTGGGCACCGAGCACCAGGGAGCTCCATCTGCTCAAGCAAAGACCGAGCAGTTTTGAAATCTCCCACGCGGCAAAGAGCTGCTATGACAGTGTTGTAGCATTGGACATCTGGCTTGCAGTGCAGCTGCTTCATTCGATAGAAAGCAGCGAGCGCCTCCTTGGCGAGGCCCTGCTCGCCAAGTATTTTGATCACCGTCGTGACGGTAGCGATGTTGACGAGATGTTCGTTCGAGCGAAGGAAGCGCCACAGAGGGGGGAGGATATTAGATTTGGCGAGAAGGCGAGCCATTTCGTGGCAGGTCGACTCGTCGTGGGAGAACTGGACCCAGGAGTAGAACTCGAGGGCTTTATAGACGCCGAGGAGGACGACGGAATGGTCGCGGTGGGCGGAAGGACGAAAGGGTCGGGCTTCGCGGCGGAGGAAGCGTTGGCGAAGAGGGGAGCGGTGGCGGGAGGAGAGTTGTTGGCGGCCGATGGAGCGGGGGGAGAGAAAGAAGAAGCGGGGAATAGAGGCGAGGATGGTGCAGATGAGGTCGGAGGTCCAGCCGGAGAAGGAGGGCGAGGGATGGAAGGAAGGGATGAAGGGGCGGCGTTGGATCATTGCGGCAATGACTTGGCGAAGGAGATGGTCTACGTTGCGGTTAGCGGCGGCGGGCGGAGTAAGGAACATCTTCGCCTCAGTGGCGAGTGGCTGTTTCGTGACTCTCTTCACAGAAGAATGACATTGGACGAAATTTAAAAAATTAACTGTAATAATTTAATTTAATCGAACTGTATTTTTTAAAACTTTTTTTTTATTTTTAAAGTTTATTCATAATTATGTTGATTAATAAATAATTATTCCCCAAACAAATTGATCAGAAAAATTTTTTTGAAGTAATTATTTATTAAACAATATTTATTATTTATTAATAGCTACTTAATTAGTTTCTAATTATATTAATTATTAATATTTACTTAAATTTTAATAAATAAATAAATAAACTAATCTGTATTTTATTTTTATTAAATAGCTCTTAAATAATTATATAAATATGTTAACTTATAATAAATTTGATAATATATTTAGTTAATTATTAATTCTAATAACTTAAATTAATAATTTTAAATTAAAACCCCAAACCCATATATTCCTTGAATCCCTTCCCTGCTCTCCTGAAACCCTCGCGTACATCACTCCGCCTCTCTCGGTCTCGCAGAAAAACCCCTTCGCCTCTACCAATTTCTCCCAAAACCATAGCCTTCGTGACCTAATCACCGCGCGATTAGAGCTAGCTGGGAAGCATCGGCGGAGCAGCAGCGTGAGAAGCAGAAGAGGAGTTCGTCAGACTCGCGGATTTCCTTAATCCGCTCATTGCCAGGATTTACAAATTCAGGATTTAAAGCCAAGCGGTGGAGAAGTTTAATTGAGTAAGATTAAAAATGCTCTTTTTGATCCCATTCCATAACCATTTAACCAAGTAGCCCTCTAGCAATGGAGGAAAAACCATTCCAGCTATTCTCCAGCAAATCCAAGTCTCCTCTGAAAGCCGTAGACTCCACCTTGCAACATATTTCCTCGACTAGAAAGATCGTTCATGCCGATCACGGTGATCCACATGCCGATGCATCTAGCATCGTCGGCTTCACTGAGCTTGGGCTTTCTAAGTGGGCTGTTGACACTTGTTTAGAGCTTGGAATGCGGCGGCCAACTCCAGTGCAGCGCAACTGCATCCCACGTATACTAGCTGGCGATGACGTTCTCGGCATAGCTCAGACAGGGAGCGGCAAGACGGCGGCCTTCGCTCTGCCAATCCTGCAACGTCTCGCTATGGAGCCCTACGGTGTATTTGCCCTAGTTCTCACTCCGACACGTGAGCTAGCGTGCCAACTCGCTGAGCAGTTCCGTGCGCTCGGATCGTCACTGCAATTGCGGTGCACGCTAATTGTTGGCGGGATGGACATGATCGGTCAGGCGCGGGCTCTTGCTTTGAGACCTCATGTAGTGGTTGCGACCCCTGGGAGCGAAATGGTCCAAACCCTATCGATAGTTTTCTGAGAATTCAATAAAGAACGAATCAAGATCCATGATACGACAACCAAAATCAGACTGAGGACGTACAGAATATCGCGATTGAGATCCAAAAACCTGTCCAGAAAAGAGAAAAGGAGAGGAGAGTGAGTCAAGCCTGGACTTTCAGGTCTGATTGTTCGATGTGTTAAGCATCTCAAGATTCTTGAATCTGAGGTACTCGAAGAAGAAGAAAAAAAAGAGGCTCTTCAAATATGACGAAGAGAATATTCAAATATGATCCGTATTGAGTATGATTTCTTCTTTTTCTTTTTATTCTTGTCTATCTTGCTTGAGTATCCGTATTCAAATATGTATAAATATATGACATGCACAACAATGGAACCAGAATGCCTTTTTTTGTCATATCAAATCGAACTAGTAAACTATCGATTGGGTTTGGGTTTCATGCCTTTTTTTGTCATATCAAATCGAACTAGTAAAGAAAGGCATGGCGATTTGGTTGCAGTTTTATTTAATGTACCAAGTTTATGTTATGTTTTTGTTATCGAGGAGGTTTTTTCAATATGAATTGTTCTAGAATCCCATATTATTTGTATGGCTGTGAGGGATTTGATCTCATGCTAATCAAATTCAGCCTCCAGATCAACTTAAAGTTGTTTATTTGATCTAAAGTTGAACTAGAGATGGCTATAGCTTGGTTTAATCCTATCTTGATTCAAGGTAAACTTGTCTCATTTATTTTGATTCAAGAGCCAAAAATTTAAGAAGTACTAATCAAATTTCAAAAATTGTATTTAGGCTTTTACTCCAACTTTTAAACAGTCATCAATACATATATCAGTGCGATCCAGCTTCTGACGAGAAGCATTGGACAGCTGGTATGCAATTCTGTTTTGAAAATCCAAGCGGCCCCTCTTCTTCCCAAAGGAAGATAGAAAATGCCCGAGCTTTGACTTGACTTCTGAAGGCGTTGGAGAAGTGTTCCCCGCGGACCCAGCGCCAGTTGGATGGGGGCCCGCCCTTCGAGGCTACTTGGGAAGGCCCCGGTTCAGCAAGCCCCGCGCTCTCGGGACCCGGCTGC